ATGGCTGCTTTGAGGTCACCCACACCCCTGTCATGGACCTGTCACTGGTGCTCTGTACATAAGCCCAGCAAATTCACTGGCTCCCCCGGGGAAGGGATTTTCAAAACATACATTTTAAACATAGAACTGTGCATTTTCATCTTGAACTGGGCTCTACAAACACAACCCAGTCCACCGCTTCTAGGTGAGCTCTTGGGGTATCCCACGGGGGGGTGGGGGGCTCTGCCTGACCATCTGGGACTACTGCGTTCAACTGTTGGACAGACACAGTGAACCTGCCATGTGCAGGCCTCTGCTATGGCCCTATGATGGGGGTGGGGTGAAGTCACTGACCATTCTGAAAACTAGAGTCTTAAAGCTTGGTCACCTCTTCACTGTGACATTCTGGGTCCACCTCGTTGGCTGGAGAAACTCCAGAACCAGAACTGCTTTTCCTGGCATGAAAGATCCCCATGGAAGGCCAGTCCTGGCTGGAATCCGCTTAGCTGGGGAAAGTGGCCCAGTGACTCAGTGGGCTGTGGGGCTGGGCAGCATTGGGCTCATCCATGAGGAAGAGTAGCTCCTTGGTGGCTGCCAGGTGGAGGTTAAACAGACATGGCTGGAGATATACAGCTGGCTAAACTCCCGACCCTGCTTCTTAGTATATAAGTTTGCCAGGTCATTAAAGTCTCAGACCCTCAGCCTGTTGTAAAATGGGTGCTCTTGAAGGCAGACAGATGGGGAGGGGTGGGGCTGGGACAGGACACAGGATGGACAGAGAAACAGAGAAACAGAGACAGAAGGAGAATTTGCAAGGCTAATAAGGTATGCAGAAGCATCAAAAGGGAGGCACAAATGCCAACGGAAGGCAACGCTGTTGTGGACAGCCAGCCTCCATTCCACTGGGGCACCCAGGAGTGCATCTCCCAGAAAGACAATAGCAGGCATGCATACCCACTGTGACGGCTAACGTTACTTGTCAACGTCACCCAACCTAGAATCACCCAGCAAAAGAGTCTTGATGGTAGATTGTCTATACTGAACCAGCCTGTGGACATGTCTACTGGGGACTGTCTTAAGTTAATTGATGTGGGACGACCCAGCCCACTATAGGAGGCACCATTCCCTAGGCAGGGGTTCCTGACCTGTGTAAGAGCACAAGCAGGCAAGCGAGCATGCATTCATTTCTCTCTGCTCTTGTATGGATATGATGCGGCCAGCTGTCTCAAGCTCGGGCCTCTGTGATTTCCTCCAAAGTGATGAACTTTAACCTGGAATTGTGAGATAAAACAGGCCCTTCCTTCTCTGAGTCACTCATTATCAGGGTATTTCATCATGGCAACAGAAATGAAACTACAACACCTGCCAACCCCGGTCCCTGGGGGCTTCCCTACGTTCCTGAGCTGCGGATACCAGCTGGCAAATTCCTGCAGGTGGGAAACAAAATAGTCCAGGAGAAAAGGGAAACACCCAACAGTGCCAGAGACAGGCCATGTCCTGGGCTCCTTATATGGGGACGGTACACTGGAGCCTTACCACACATGTGTAACAAGTATTAGTAACACACAACCCCACAGATGAGCCCCTTAAGAAACATGGGGTTCTAACAGCAATGGAAGGCTGTGAGATGTTAAGGAGGACGGTAAAATTCTTAACCATAAGCAACCTAGGAGAGAAATGGCTTATGTCATCTTACAGTTCAGGAGGACACAGTCCCTGATGGCTGGGAAGGCATGGCAGCCAGATCATAAGGAAGCCGATCACAGGACATCTGCAAGTTGGAAGCTAAAAGAGATGAATGCTAGTGCTCAGCTCACAGTCTCCTTTTTATGCGGTCTGTGACCCCAGCCCATGACATGGTACCACCCACATTTACACGGCATCACCTCACCTCAGTTAACCTGATCTACATAGTCCCTCATAGGCAACACCTCACAGAGGCTTGTCTCGGGTGGGATTCTAGATGCTGACAACTTAATCGATATCCACCACCACAGAGACACAACCCAGCTGGCCTATTGCAACGGGGCTCCAGAGCCTGTTCTGAACCACAGGCTCTTTCCTCCCTCCTGCAAAAGGGGTCGAAGACCTGGCCTCAGATACCACACTGGGCTTTGGCCTTCGGTGAAATCAGCAAGAGTGAAATTGATGAGAACGAAAAAAGCAGAGACCCAAAGTCAATGCCGAGACCCCGGCATGTGCTGGAGAGCTCGAGAACCGGAGGTCCAGGGAACAAGACACGGAAGGCCAATCGGCAGAACTCCGGGCCCTGGGCTTCTGGATTGTTCCTCTGCTGCCAGCTGCTGTCCCCATCTGAAGTCTGGGACCCCATCACCAGCCATCTCCCAACCCCAGGAAGAGAGAAGCGACAGGGACTCAACTGAAGACAAAGGCATCGAATGTCAGTGCTGTGACAATCACAGCATTCCCTGGGGAAGTACAGAAGGCTAGTCCCCAAGAGGGTTCAACCAAGACACGACAAAAAGTAAAGTGAGTGGCATCTGCGATGACAATAGAGATGTCAGGACCAGACTGCAGACGTCTCTGGGTCATCTTCCTGCCCAGCCCTGAAGGGACATGCTCTCCTGAAAGAGACACCTTCCTCCATCCATCCCTTCCTAGGGCCAAAGGGACAGGCACTCTCCAGCATAGTTCTGGGCCTGGCCACATCTGGCCCTAGCCAAAGCCTGAGGCTGCCCAGGACCATTTTTTAATTCCTTTGCAATCAGCATTTTCCTTTCTTCATTTGCTGGTTGAATAATACAGCCTGTGGGAAAAGGGTCCTCAGCACAATTCTGGTGCTCGTTTACAATGGAAATTGGGAAAACGGCGCAACACACGCTGCAAAATGCATTTAAAAGAAGATGATTCAATTGGATTTGGCAGCTCTGATATTCAGGACCAGAAGGAGAAAATCTGTCTATGATTTGAACATGTATAATTAAGATGAAAGCCTTAAGTACTGGGTGCATTTCTTAAGATGTCACCGGCTCTGTTGACTCCGGGCGTTCTGATCAGCAATGTAGAGCGTTTATTCCTGAAATCTGAGTGAGTGAGTGAGACGCCTTGTAGAAGCCAGCACCACGGAGCCGAGTCAAACCCTGACACCACACTGCTTATCAAACGGCGTGACAGCAGCAGGGGTGAGGTGGAGAGAGCGAAGAGCCACTTGGGGGCTAGCTCTGATCTTCCCTGAGCTGCATTCCCTAACCTTTGCAGACAGAGGCACAGGCGGAATTGGATTCTTCCTGTGTGTCCTATTTTGGATCTTCTTCTGGTATCAGTGGACCTGCCAGGTCCCCGGGAACTGCTCCATGAATGGAGATGTCATGCTTTGAATGTGGGATTGTGTGCTTGCAAAGAGGAAACCTGGTACAGAGGTCCCCTCTCTTGCGTGATTTCTCTTGCTGAGGTGTTAGTTGACAACCCTGGTCAAAAGATGCAATGTTGGGGGCCTAGAGAGGTGGCTCAGTGGTTAAGAGCACATGTAACTCTTTCAGAGGACCCCGGTTCGGTTCCCAGCACCCATATGGTAGCTCACAATCATCTGTTGATTCCAGCGTTAGGGGATCCAGTGCCTTCTTCCAGCCTTCAGAAGCATGAGGCAAGCACATGGAGCACAAAAATACGTGAAGGCATAAACACTCATACACATAAAGTAAAAATAAGTTTATTCAAAAAACACTTTTAAAAAAGATATGAAATGGAAAGTTCCAGAAAGATAACCATTTATAAATTTGAAGTTGTGTGCTGTCTGAATGATATAGTAAAATCCCTCCCTGCCCCACTCCATCCTGCCTGCAACATGATTCATTCCTTTCTCCCGCATGTCTCCACTGTGTATGTAGTACCTCCTACCGATACTTAGCAGCCATCTCAGTTGTTACACTGATGTATTGTAGAGGTACCACTGTGTTGTGTTCACATAACCCTTATACAGGAGCCTAACGCTACATCACAATGCCTACATCATCACTTCATGTCATGTCTTCATGTGGGCACTCTATGGTCCACAGCATCCCAAGGAGAGGGTTTGTAGAACACAGTAAAGTATTTTGATTAAAAGAGGCCATGTTCACATGACTTATCGCAATATATTATTATGTTTGTTGGTTTTATTATTTTTATTAAGGACTCACTTTGCCTAGTTTTATAAGTGAAACTTTACCATTAGGTATGTGTAACAGTTAATAATGATTATCAATTTGACAGGATGTAAAATCACCTAGAAAACAAGTCTTTAGACATGCCTGTGAGAGATTATCTAGATTAAGTTAGACATTGCCCATGCCTTTAGAAATTTTCTTGATTGGGTTAATTGAGGCAAGAAGACCCACCCACCATTCCCTGGGCTGGGTTTTAGACTGCATAAAACCGAGAGAGCTGTAGACACAAGGTGGCCATCTGCTTCAAACTTCTGCTACACTGACTTCCTGGTCATGAACTATGTAGTGTACCCTTGAAACATGACCTACCTGTCTTCCTTGTCATTATGGACTCTCCCTCAGGAACCATAAGCCAAAATAAACTCTCTCTTCTAGAAGTTGCTTTGGTCATGGTGTTTTATGTTTTGAGGATATCATCTGGTCTCCATCCATGTGTGGCATGTGTGTATATGTGCGTGCGCACGCACGCACGCACATGCACGCACGCACGCACGCACACGCACACACACAATGAAGTAGGACAGTCTGTGTAAATCCCAACAAGACTCTTGCTGTCCACAAGGTGTGATTCTTTGTGCTCTCCTCCGCTTGCTCATCGAAGCTACCCCAAATCATCTCCTCCCTCCGGCATACCTGCTCTCTGGGCCCAGAGGCCCTGATCTTTGTAGAAAGTAGCATGTCATAACACACCTCTCCTTGGCAACATGAGGTGACTCAGTGGCAGCGCAGCTGGTTGCTCACCAGCTTCTCCCTGGAGAGTTGGTAGCATCACAGAGATGACTCACAAGTGGCACCAGGGGACAGAAACCTGGGTCTGGAGTGAGTCTCATAATGGTGCCTGTCAGGTAACTTGCTAGCTCATGACCCACAGGGAGCGGAGTCTCCTGAGACTTGTGGGTCTCCATTTTCTGTGTGGGGTGGGAAAGGAAAGAGGACCCCTAAAGCACCACTGTCCTTAGAGGCTGGGCCATCTCTAGGTGCCCACTTTCAGATTCTGACTTAGCTGTTGCCTCTGCCCTGGGAGCAGCCTACTTTTTAGAAAGAAAGGCAGAATGTGGGAGAGACATGAAGTGGGGAGTCCAGGAAAGAGAGGGGGAGCCTGTTAATAGGGGTAGCTGCATGGTCCAGCCCTGCAGACAACCGGAAGACTGCTACCTAGCCCCCAGAGCAGTTGGGTTCAATGGATGCCCGACCAGCACCTTCCTATGCAAACAGCCAGCCCTGTGAAAATAACTCAGCCCATCTCCAAGGCCGTGAGTACCGCACTGTGTGACTCAAGTATTCCATCCAGGCCAGACATGCACAGTGGGGGAACTAAATTCGGACTGTCTTAACTGGTTCTCACCCTGCCTGTTGGCCACAATGTCTGCCTGGATTGTAGGGTAGCTCCAAGCACACCAGTTCATCCTCTGACCAACTGTGGGACCTTGGGAGTGCCTAATCCCTGAGTCTCTATGTCATCATCTCAAATGGTTCATTCTTCAGATGTGTGTGTGGAACTGGCAGCACAAGCCTCGTGTCCCCCCCCCCACTTTCTCCCCCTCCTTTCTCTTCCTTCTCTTTTTTTCTTCTCTTCCTTTTTGTTTCTTTTGTATTCATTGTCTTCCTTTCTTCCTGTTCTTCATTTCCTTTCTCATCCCATCTGCTTCCCTTCCCTTCCTCAGAGCCACTCAAAGCCCAGGTCTTGACCATCCTCTGCTGTCACCTGTGGTGTGCAGTGCTGTCCTGCGAGGATGACCAGGGTCCGCCTGACAGGACCCGTGTGAGTATTGGGAAAGCCCTGTCCCCTCAAAGAGCGGTGAGAAAGAACCTTCAGGACTCCCGTGTCAAGTGTGAAAATGGATGTTCTGGATTCCTATGCTTTGTTTCTTGCTTTTTACCTTCCAAATCAGGCATAGCTTATCGGAACCAAAGCAATCTTCAAGAGCAGAGGGAACTGACGGAAACAGGAGCTGGGAAAGCTTGGCTTTCTGGGACGCAGACATCAGCTTCTGAGGCCAAGGAAACATTGTTGAGCACTCCAGACCTGTCCACAAACAGCAGATTGACCTGGCTGGCCGCGGTCCCAAGATCCTGGGAAGTGTCCTGAGTAAGAAGAGTTTGCAGTGCATGTCAGCAGCCACAGGCAACTGGGCACCCTTGGCAAATGAGCAATGCCAGGAGCATCTCAGAGGTCCACTGTGGCTCCACGGTGCCCACACCTCCCGTCAGGTATACCAGTCATCATCTCTCTTCAGTACCATGCCCACTAGTAAGGCAAAAGACAGCGAGTGTGATAGGATGGGCCCTCTAAGGGTGGAAGCAAGTCCCCCGGGCACCTGTTGCCCAGGGAGGGAGGGGAGAGATGCGTGGGCCTTTGGTCCATAGCTCTTGGCGTAAACAGAATGGAAACTGTAATAGCCCTAGTTCCAGACATCTTCTCCCTTGTTTTGTTTGTTTTTAATCTTGCAAATCAATAAAGTGAATAGAATGGGAAGAAGTTCAGTTCTGTTCTAAAAGTTGTACCCTTGTAATCGCAAGACTCAGGAGGGTGAGGGGGCTCTAGAGTTTGAGGCTAAGTTGGGCGTGGTGTCACACACCTTAAGTCCCAGCACTCCAGAGGCAGAGGCAGGCGGATCTCTGTGAGTTTGAGACCAGCCTGGTCTACAGAGTGAGTTCCAAGACAGCCAGAGCTACACAGTGAGACCCTGCCTCAAAAAGAAAAAGAAAGTTTGAGGCCAGGGGCCATCAGGATTTCTCAGTGGCCTAAGGCGCTCACCGCCTAGCCTGACCACCTGGGTTCCATCCGTAGAAAGGGAACCAACTGTTCCTACTGTCTTCTGGCCTACACATACACACACACACACACACACACGCACACGCACACGCACACGCACACGCACACGCACACGCACACGCACACGCACTAAGTAAAATGTAAAAGTAAAATTTTGAGAGTTGAAAGCTAGCTTTGATTATATATCAAGAGTCTATCTGTCTACCTCAAGCGTGTGTGTGTGTATGTGTGTGTGTGTGTGTGTGTGTGTGTGTGTGTGTGTGTGTGTGTATGTGTGTGTGTAGCCAGTTAACTAAACAGAGAGAGCTCAGGACGTTAACATCAGCACATCGCATACTTCAACTCCAAGTGACTGGACACAGGCACGTTTCCATGAAAGAAGGGAATTCTTTTTTATGTGGGAAGCATCTCAGGCTGTGTCAGTTACCCATGTTACCACTGCTACACACACACAATAACCCAAAACCACAAAAGCCCTCCTGGAAACAACTCAAAGGGAGGATTTCCTTTCTGATTTTTTACACTTATTTGTCTGTGGGAATGTGGCGTGCTGCTGCACACGTGTGGAGGTTGGAGGACAACTTGCGGGAGTTGGTTCTCTCTCTCCACCATGCAGGTTCCAGGGACCAAACTCAGGTGGTGGGGTGGCAGCGTCCACCTTTGCCCACGGAGCCATCTCATCACTCCCGAGGATTCATTCTGTTTCCCAGTTTCAGAGGGTCCCGTTGATCATCACTTGACCCCATACACCTGGGCAGAAGAACACTGTGGCAGGAGCATGTCGTAGAAGGCTCTCTTTCCTTCATTTCCTTCTTAAAGGATATTCCAACATGCATGTATGTGAGAGCGAGTGCATGCCGCATGTGTGTGTGCCTGCAGAGGCCAGAAGAGGGTGTCAGATTCCCCTGGTGCTGAGTTACAGGTGGTAGTTGTGGATGCTGGGAACCAAAGTTGGGTCCTCTGAAAGAGCAACAAGGTCTTAACTGCTGATCCGTCTCTTCAGCTCCACGTGCTTCAGATATTGGTGAACAGGAAACAAAGGAAAGGAATAAGGAAGGAATCAGGGCAAGATACAGCCCCAAGGACACGCCCATCCCCATGACCCACTTCCTCCAACTGCCTGCTGCCTTTCCTCACTTCCAGATAATTCCATCACACTGTGAATCCATCAGGGGATGAGGTCAGAACCCTCAGGATCTTATCACTTCCCCTGAAGGCCTATTAGCTGGCAGCTAAGTCCTCCGCACAGGAGGCTATGAGGGACATTTCACAGCCAGACAATAGCACAGAACACCTAACCTCAGTCTCAGTAGATAGAGGAAGTGCTCGGCATGGCTGCTTTCTTAGGAACATTGGTTTGTAGGAATGCTGAGGTCTTTTATGTAATGCAAGCTGAGCATCCTGAACATGAAAATCAATATCCCAAGTGCTCCCGAACCAAGAACTTTTCAAGCACCCGCGTGACCGCACAAGTGGAAAATTCCACACCATGAAACTTTACTTCATGCACAAAATCACTAAGCATATTGTATAAAATTACCTTCAGGCTACAGGCAGAAGATTTATAGAAAACATAGATAAATTTCATAGTTAGTTTTGGGGTCTCATCCCCGAGACATCTCATTATGCAAATTCAAATACTCTGATTTTTTTTAAAAGTACGAAACACTCTGTCTCCCTTTTTAGATGAGGGAGACTCAGCTTGTATAAATATGAACTTCTTTCTCCACTGGTTTTTGAACTCCAGAGAGGTGAAGCTGACTCCTGCACATGCTCTCCCCTTCCACTGGAGAAGACTCTGCAGTTGTTTCTGAGGGGAGTCAGGGACACAGGTCCAGCCACTGCTCATCTGTATGTCCATCTCAGGTAAAGTGCTGAAGATGTCCCTAGGAAGGTAGATGGTATAAGCTTGATGAAGCTGGTCACATCTCATCCACAATCAGATGTGACTGTAGGAACAGGAAACAGAAAAAGAAAAAGATACAATCCAGAATCCCCCATCCAGGGAATGGTGCCATTCACAGGAAGGGTCTGTACACTTCAGTTAAGACAATCAAGATGCCACTCCCCACCCCACCCACACACACATGCCTAGACACCCATCTCACAGGTGATTCTGGATTCTGTCAAGTTAACAATTGACTGTAACCATCACAAGGACCCAAGAGAATCTGTTGGAAGTCCATGGAAAAGATTGCCTTGCTCTATTTAACACAGAGAGGGGCTTTGGGGGATGTGGCTCAGAGGTAGAGCATGTGTATACACCAAAATAAAATCAAATGAAAGAGTTGGAGAAGGGGATTGCCCTGGATGTCTATGATCGTAGCTGGGAAGGAGAGTTCCCTGGCAGACCACCGCCGCCACCACTGAGGAAAATGGAATACTCAAAGCCATAAAGGGGCCGCTCAAAGCCATAAAGGGGCTGCCCAAAGCCCTGCATCCCCAGAACACCCACCCCAGGTTCTCAAGGACAAAGGAGTTAAGTCACCATTCCCTGGATGGGTCCTACTTGCTGCTGGACACATCCCTTTCCCAAGGCCCTCAGGCTCAGCTCTAGAGTCAGGAAAACAATTGGACCAAAGTGGGAAGAGTGTCCACAGAGGCGCATCCCACAAGGGATGGCCACTAAATGTGATCATCTTCTTACTGACCAATCTCAAAGCTTGACTCCCAGACTCAACCTCATCTCTTCAGGCTGTGGAGACTAACTCCTCAGACCCTACCCATGGACCCTGGGAGCCCACCAGGGACTCCGACTTAGAAGAAATCTCATGAGCTGAGGGGACACTGAGTTTCTGTCCCCAGGCTCAGAGCCCCAGTGGCCCAGGGAGGCCCCTAGCAAGCATGGAAGCTCTGGGGGCGGGAGGGGCAAGCGTCAAGGAAGTAAGCCGAGGGGGCCGTGACCATCTGACCCTTCTAGAAAGTGCAGCAGCGGCAGAATGCCAGGCGAGCTTCATTTTCAAGCCTTGATTTCATTAATAAGATAATGATGAGTCGTTTAACTTTGCATCTGAGAGTGAAGCAAATTACCTGTGTCTATATTGCTTAATGACGGAGGCGCTAACTGGACCTTTGCCGCCTGCTGGAACTGAAGCTGACCTATCACAGGAGGCAATTTTATGCCCTTGATTTTGCCATTTGACTGAAGCCATCCATCAGGCCAGCCTTCCACCCCACACCACCAGCTTCACAGCTCTACCGGAGTCCTCTGCCATCATCACCCCTACCTCCCCGGCTTTTTTAACCCAATGGTCCTGTGACCGTGAGTTATTTCCTATGCATGAATCATACAGCCCCATTAGCCAGCACTCAGGCACAAAGGTGCGGATGTCACACTTTTGGAGATCTGTCCCCTGGGAGGCATTCATCCTAGACTAGAGATGTCCTGAACTCCTCACTGTCCTCAGAAGATGCCAATGCTGCTGTCGCTTTCTGAGGCAAGGTGATGGCCTGAATCAGGACACAATAGCCCATGAGTCTTTCCCAAGCCAGAGAGATTCAGGGATTTTTCACTCTTTCAGAGTCTGAAACGCCCCCCTCTTATTTCTTCTAACTAAGATATAATTTCTACAGAAGATAGGATGGAAAGACTGTAAGATCCAGAAGTTGAGAAGGACCAGAACAAAACCTTGTCTTCTGATCCCGATGAGAAGGCTGTACTCATGAACCACGGGAGCTGTGGTTCCCTGCATGAGACCTGAACAGGAGAAGCCAGTCAGCATTCTAGGATGGAGTGGGAAGGGGGTTGTGAGCTCTTACCCTTAACTGAGGAGCTATGGGCAGTTGACAACTCATGGGGGAGAGTCGGTTGTCATTAAGAGGTTTGGCTCCTGATAGGTCAGCCACATTCCAGTGGGTGGCCCCACACCCAAGAGTATATGGACGGCACAAACTGGAGTTGAGGGTTGTTTAAAAACCAGGACATGAAGTGGGAGAGTGGACATGGGGAGAGTTAGGGGATGGATGTGTTCATAATACATTATATAAAATTCATTAAAAAATCAATGAAAATATTTTTAAATTAAAAAAAAAAGACCCGGGGGAGTGTGGCCCAGGAGACTACCCTAGAAGTGTTTCCCAGAATCTCCGGACTATAAAACAACAACAACAAAATGCAGTTTGCAGTAGACAGACCTGGGGTCCTAATCCTAGAGAGAAAGTGGTTCCCCTCACCTTCAACGTCTCCATCACTTGTTCTTGGATCACCGAAGCAGAGGGAGGAACCAAGTGATTACGTGATGGAGGGGCTACAGTCCTGGCATCATGGGCTGGCCTGTTCCATCCCTGAGGCTGGCCATCCCCAGATAGGACACTCACAGCCTCTCCTTATCATATGTGACTACACCTAGGTAAGTCTCCAGACCATAAGAGAGACACACAATAGGCTGGAGGATTTGGAGTCTCCAAAGGGGGAGCCATGGCTGTCTGAAGTCCTGAGGCTCTGCCTGAGGACAGGCTTAGCTTTCTTGGCCTGGACCACAAGAAGGGAATCCCCATGTGGATGAGGAGTACTCAGAGCCTTCTCTTGTTGGAGTCCCAAACAGAGCCACCTACCCAGCTTCTAGGAGCTTCTCTGGCAAGAACTCTACTGACATTTGTTTCTCTCTACTGCTAGCAAAATATCTGAGTGAATAAGAAACATTTGAGCAACGTATACACAAGGAAAGGAGAAAGGGAAAGAGGCAGGGAGGGAAAAAAAGGTCCTTAATCTTAGTTAGCTTACTATTACTGTGATAAAACACCATGACCCAAAGCAATTTGGGGAGGAAGGGGATTATCTCCCTCTCAGTCCATGTCACAGTTCATCATCAAAGGCAGTGAGGGCAGGAACTCATGAAGGGCAGGAACCTGGAGGCAGGAGCTGATGCAGAGGCCATGGAAGTGTGCTGCTTACTGGCTTGCTCAGCCTGCTCTCCTGTAGAACCCAGAACCACCAGCCCAGGGATGACACCATCCACAATGAGCTGGGCCCTCCCTCATTGATCACTAATGAAGAAAATGCATTACAGCCAGATGCTATGGAGTCATTTCCTCAACTGTGGTTTTCTTTCGGATAGCTCTAGCTTGTGCCAAGTTGACATAAAACTAGTCAGGACAGTAGGTATCTGTTGGATTTTGTTTTTTCTTGTTTGTTTTTTTGGGAAAGAAAAGGCAGTCTCACCCCTATGGTGTGAGACTCGAACAGGTTACTGGGGAAATAAAACCCCATACTCTTCTTGAGAACCCAACAGATCAGTTTCTTTCCTGAGACTCCGTTTCTTCCCCCTGTGAAACAACACTGCCCTGTGGGTGTGTTTCTTTTCCGTTGCTGTGATAAAACACCATGACTAACAAAAGGAAGAAAGGGTGTGTTCGGGCTCACAGCTCCAGAGGGGTGGAATCCATCCCGGCAGAGGCGGCATGGTGTGGTAACAAGAGCAGGAAGCTGGCTCATTTCATCCTGAAAGATCACATTTTCATCCACACACAGGAAGCAGATCAAGAAAAAGACAGGGAGCAGGGGCGGGGGGCTGTCAACCCTCAAAGCCCATCCTCCAGTGAGGTACTTCCTCCAGCAAGACTTCACCTCCTCAAGGTTCCATAACTTCTCTCAAAGAGTGCCCCAAACTGAGGATCGAAGTTCAAATACACCATCCTGCTGAGGGGGGCATTTTCATTCAAACCACCACCCTGCTCCCAAGGGTGGGTGTATGTTGTTCCTCTAGGGTCACTGTAGACCTTTGCCTAATGCCAAACACATCATAACCACTAATAAGAAGTCACCATCACCACTGCTGCTCTGGTTCAGAAGGAGCCCCCTGCAGGTTCAGGCATGCTATAGCCCGGTCTGCAAGCCAAGAAAGGGCCCATCTTGCCCTTGAAGCCCTGGAGAATCCTCCAGTCTCACAGAGTCAGAGTTTGCTCCTGCCTGGACCTCAGAACTGACCTGGCCACATGTTCGAGCAGCTCTCCCTACTTCGGGCTCACATCTGCATTCATGGCTTCCTGCATCCCCACGTCCCATTCCCACCATGAGCAGGGGGGAAGGGAGATGGGCTCTGCAGGGTCTGCAGCCCTCAGTCCCTCACCCTGAGCTTGAGGAAGAGTGGAAAGGACTTTATTAAAATGGATGTCAGCACTCCGGTCAGCCCTCACCCAGCAGCTTACACTAAATTATTAATCGGCATCGGCGGCAAGGACGCTGGGGGCTGTGCCATTCGCTAACAGATGGGTTTGGGCCGCATCTCTGTGTGTGGTGCTGATGGAACAGCAGCAGGGAATGAGTGCGGCCTGGGGTGCAGAGCCCAGTGGGGGAAGAACTCAACTAGGACCCCCACCAGACACTCCGCCTTACCCGCCAAGTTCCCCCCACTCCTCTACTTCTTGTCTCCTGCCAAGGGACTCTCTTAAGTCCAGCAGGAATCCGCGCTGCCCGGGGCAGCAATGTCAATAATCAATGTTGCATGAGGGCCTACTTTGTGTTCAGCATTCATGTGAATTATTTGATTTAATCTTCACAATGATCCCACAAAAAGAAGGTGTCTCTAATAGCCTTTTATAAGTGAACACACAGATCTCCAAAGTGGTTCATTGCCCAAAACTGTATGCTTACTAAGTGACAGACCCAGGGCTGAGACCCATGACCCCTGGATGTCTGCAGCCATTTCTCTGTCCTGTCTCCTTGATGTCTATCTACCCACTCGGGGTCCTTGGCAGCTTTTGTTGTCCTGGACCTTGCAGCCTACTCTGTGGGTGGAGGCTCCATCATGAGGGCCGAGAATGCTGATGTCCCCTGAGGAGATCCCAGAGAAAGTTCAGGGGAGGAGAAAGCCAGAAGAACTTAGTCCTCCAGGCTGGAAAGCCTTTCCCTAAAAACTGGGATCTCAGGAGTGAAAACAGGCTCTTCACAGGATCTGCATTCCATGGAGAGGCAGCTACTATGGGTACAGCCCACAAGCCTGTCCCATGGCCTCCTGAAGCTGTGTCCAGCTGTCCCCTGTCATTACTATTTATTGTAATTGCTGCATTTTATTAGCATTCAGTCTCCACGGGGCATTAAGAGTAAATGGCACTTCATTTAAACCCATGAATGACTGAAGATTTGGAATAAGGAACAGTAAACTGGGGGTGGGGGTGGGGGAGGGACCATGGCAACAGGTAGTCACCTCAGACAGAAGCCAGTCAGGAGTTTTGAGTTTTATTTGCTTACAAGTTGAACAGAACCAGTTGGGGATAGAAACCCCAGGCAGCAACTCTAAGCAAATTCCAAGTCCTCAAGGTTCCCAGGTTAAGGAGGCGAGACAGCCGAGTCAGACCCCCTCTGGCCTGTGGAGACTCAGACGGCTCAGGACACTTGTCCCATACACAATCTCCCCTGATCCCACAGCTGCACTTGTCTTAGGGGCACCGCAGTGGGACCCTGACCTGCTCCCTGACAAGTTGCCCCTGTCCCCTCTCTTTCCGTCCTCCAAGCCCACTTCCAGCTCTGGGTCCAGCCCCACTTCTCCATGGAACTTGAAGCATCAGAGGATCCGCTGTGAACCTTCCCAGCCGGGAATTCTCAGACCCATTTTCTGGCTCCCTTCCAACCTCTCCTCCCTTCCCTTCTTCTTTTTGGACACTTGCACCCTCCCCGCATGAGAGGAGTCCCAGCCAGGCATTTGCTGGACGGGAGGCAGCTACCTCTCCACTCTTGCCTGCCCAGGGGCGGAATCAGCAAGATATCCTTTTACCTGATACTCCCTCTGCCCTTGAAAACCTCGGAGGGAGGGGAATCCTTAAGATGGCTGTTTATTAGCAGCTCTTGATGGCATTAGCAGGTGAGAGAGCATGGTAAAATATAGATTAGAGGGAGGGGGGGCACGAATCACGCCGCCATTTGTCCTGGTCCAAATGTCATTATGCGTTCCATCGCGGCATATTACCGAGATGATTAGTGGCATCAAATGACTTCTGAAAAATGATTATATGCCATTAAAAGCATTAGTCTGTCTGAAACCAGCACAAACAAATGGCCGTGCAAGGATGACTCATTAGCTGAGGAGGCTGGGAGATGTGGCGAGAGCTACAAGGCAATTAGAACAGCCAACAGGTTGGAGGGGGTGAAGGCTGCTGAACCCAGAGCCGCACTCAATGGCCAGAGACCTGGACCCAGATGGCACAGGGGATCTGTAGGATGCGGGCTGCTCCTGGGGGGCAGGGCTGAGGAGATCAAGGGCTCTGCCCGCTCATGGCAGCAGTGTTCTGGTCATCTCCAACATCTAGAGAAGGGGATGGGGCAGACGGCCCTTCAGGGTATAGCAAAGGACATTTGGAGAGGAAAAAGAGAAACAGCTAAGCTTAACCATAGAGAGGCGAGTGTGCTGATGGAATGCCATAGCAGAGTCCCTGGAGGGAATTTTTTTAATTGACTCTTAAAAAAAAAAAGAAAAAGAAAAAAGTTGGCTTGGGAATCACAATGTAATTTACAATGACAGGAACATTTAGAGAAGCTATCGTTTGGGAGATTAAAAAACATTCCTTGAATATATACCAACAAAATAGCTTTGATATGACAGCAGAAGAGGAAAAGAGTCAAAGCGCCATCTTTTCCAACGTTTTCCCCGGTATCTGAATTCCAGCTGCAGCCTCGAAGTGCAAGATCCGCTCTGTGGTGGATTTCGCTCCCAGCAGTCAGGCCTTGGCTGTGAGGAGACCTGAGAAGCAAGTGAGCACATCATCGCTTCCCCTCCACGGGTGCACAGGCCAGCCTATGCGGCATCCGACCCTGGAGGGACACTTCAAAGCAGACTGTGAGCCAAGCGGACTCCACACGCACCCTGGAGTCCCCTCTTCCTGCCTTTCTTCTCTCTCCCCTTCCACACTGGCATCCAGAAATACAATGAGCATGACCTGAATGTGAAATGTCCCCCACAGGCTCCTGTGTTTGAACTCTTGGTCCCTAGCCGGTGGAACCTTTGACACGAGAGTCCTAGCTGCAGACTATGGGACTCTAAGGGGAGGGCTTACTGGTTATAGCCAGTTTCTGTCACAGCTTCTATGCTTTCCTACTCAGCATCATGTAATAAGTAGTTATCATATGCTTCCCACATCATGGAAGGTCATACGCCACCATGTCATACACCACCCACTGCCATGTCTCCCTCACCACGATGAACTGTATTCCCTCAGACTGCAAACCCAAATAAATCCCTCTTTCCTTGAGTTGACCTTTTACAATGACACCTAAATGACTGGTACAGTGGTGGCCAGCCTGCCCAGACAGGCCTTGGACGGTCACCAGGTATGTCGAGCTCAGTGCAGCCTGGACAGCCCTATTCTTCACATAGCCTAAGACAGTCTAATCCTGGAGCTGAAGCAAGGCCCGTGAACTTGGTGTCCAGGCATCAGGCCATGCTCTGAGCTCTGTGTTTGATCTCTTTCGGCCACACCTGTGAGGCAGGTGCAACCATTAGCTGCATTTCACAGGTAAGGAAAAAAATCTAGAAAGATCACAGAGACTTCATGCCACACCATGTACCCCAAGATGGAGAAATACAGGCAGGGATTCCCCAGAAAGGGGCTCCTCTCCCAAAGGGGACCAGAAGAAACACTCCCCGCTGCACAGACACAGGATCTGCCTTCCCAAGCACAGTAGCAACTTTGCATACTCCAGTAACCAAGCCCCTTGTGACAATGCACAGGCTTCATGGTGACCCAAGTTTCAGGGATGCAGTGTCCTTCCCTGCTCCTGGGACAGACAGCCTGGGATCCCCGGGAAGAGGCAGAGCAAGATGTTGGGAGCAGCTTTGTAGTCTGGCTTAGGTTCAAAGGCCCTATCCAGCTGCATGGACAATGTTTGAGGGCCAGATCCAGCTGTAGAGACTGCAAGCTGAAGGTTCTCAGCCAGCACACAAGAATATCGTGAAGAGCCATTAAAAACTAGTACTGATGAGCGGTGATGAGGAGCCTCAGGTCACTGCCACAAGAATATCTGGTAGTTAAAGGAAGGAGATTTTGTTTAGCCTCAAGGTTTCGGAGGGTTCAGTGCATCACAGTGGGGAATCACGGTGGAGCAGAACAGCTCACATCACAGTACAGGGAGCAGAGAGAGAATGCCCACCCCAGAGGCTTTCTCCTCTTATTCCATCTAGGCCACCAGCCTATGAGACAGTGTCATCCATATTCAGGGTCCCCTCCCCTCAGCTAATCCTCTCTGGAAATGCCCTCAGACACACAACCAGAGGTGTGCATGATTATCTCCATGGCCCTTCTTGGGGCAATCAAGTTGACAGAGGAAATTAACCACACGGGCCTCAGTCCCACTAAGGTTCAGACCTCCTGCTCCTGCCCACCCCTTGACTACTACAGATGAGTGAACTGGGGCTCACTGAGGGGGGGGGCAAACCCAGAGTTGAATAGCTACTAGGACCAGCCAGGAACTAAAATCCCCTAAAGACTTCCCTCCCTCTCCCCCTGCCCCTCCCCTCCTCTCTTCATCTCTTCTCTCCTCTCTCCTTTTTCTTTCCCCTCCTCCCTTCCCTCTCCTCCTCTTCCTCTTCCTCCTCCCTTCCTTTTCCCTCTCTTCCTCCTCCTACTCTCTTTTTCTCTTCCCCCTCATGCCCTCTCCTCCTCTCCTTCCTCTTTCCCTCTCCGCCCTTCCCTTCTATCTTCCTCTCCCTCCTCTTCCTCCTCCTCCTCTCTTTCTCTCCTCCCTCCCCTCCCCCTCTCTTCTCTTCCTCCTCTTCCCCTCCTTTCTCTCCCTTCTCCTCCCCCTTCCCTTTTCTTCTCCCTCCCTCCTCCTTCTCAGCCTCATCACTATCATCTTCTTCCTCCTCCTCCACCTCCTTCCCCTCACCACCTCCTGGCCGCCACTCCAGGGTCCAACAGTCGGGGCTGTAGAGAGGCCGCAGAGCTTTGGCAGCTGAACCTGGAGGCTGTCACTGCAGTTGACACCTGTCACAACCCCAGCTGCTCTGGGCCTCAGAGGCCAGTACATGCTGCAGCCTTTTTCCTGCTTACAGAATCAGTGTCCATCAGCTCAGAGCCGTGGTAGCTCTCCAGAGGCCGTTCCTGCCTCTTCCCTCCAGGACTCACTGGGGATACCTAGCCCAATCTGCAGAAGCCCGGACAGGCTGTTCTTCATCTTTATGGAACGTGGCTTTGCTGTTCCTGTCGATGTGAGCTCAGATCCTGGGATGGCATCTCACAAGCGTGGGCTCTGACTGGTTTTCCTTCATCCTATTAGAAAACCATGAAATCACTTTCTGCTACTTGTTGGGGGTTTTCCCCCCTTTCTCACTAAGACACAGAGCAAAACGATATTTGAGGATGGTCTGTTGGTGTCTCAGCTGCAACAGGGCATGAATGCTTGTGAGATTGGTCTGCTGGAGTTCAAGGCTAGCTGCTATAAAAGATTAAAAACAACCATTTGTAAGACCTCTGCTTCCTCATCCTACTGCCCTTTACCTCTCTCTTCTTGACACTCAAATAAAAGAGAGAAAGGGGGAAAAAGGTAAAGAAACATATTAAAACGCCCTCATCCCCACCCCACACACAATAGCTTGGAACTACATTTTCTTGTTGTTGATACTCAGTGAATACAGTGAACTGTCAATTTTATTTTAAGGCCATTACACTAATCTCTAAGTCCTTTATTAGCATATCTTAATTACACATAACAATGGGTTTCATCATGACATTTTTATGTATGTACATAGTGTGATTTGAACACGTTCATCCCTCCCTTTTGCTCTCTCTTGTACTCTTGGCAATCTTCATTTTTTCCTCAATTACTCTTCCTGTTATAGGTATATATTTATATGTGCCTACTTGTGTAAGTATATGGTGTATGTGCACATGTGTATGCAGGTACGCACGCCTGTGCGTGCAAGTGGAGGCCAGAAGAGGGTGTCAGTGTCCTCTGACTCTCGCTCCCTAGTCTTTGAGGCTCCCTGAGCCTGGAGCTGGAGTTTTCTCAGCTAGGCTGAAAGCCATCAAGCCCTAGCAATTCTGTCTCTGCCTTCCTTGGAGTCTGGGTTGCAGGCCGTGTGCTGGACACCTAGCTTGTTACACAAGTGTTGGAATCCAAACTCCAGTCCTCATGGTTGTACAGCAAGTGTTCCTAAACTCTGAGCCATCTCTCCTACCCCAACCAGTCCCCCTTCTATTTTCGTGTGTGTGTGTGTGTGTGTGTGTGTGTGTGTGTGTGTGTGTGTGTGTGTGTGGTTTTTATGACCCAATGGCGTTTGTTAGTATTGCTAGAAGAGCATGGGTGGGAGTTTTTTTTACTGGGGCATGTATACCTTGCCAATGGCTACACCACTCAAGAAAATATCTCCCCCATCAACATCTGCAGATAAATCCCTAGTGAAGAGTGAATCCAAGCCCCTTCCCCTTCCATGACAGGACATTGGCAGACTCAATCATTTTTGTTTATTTGTTTGTTTTTGAATTGAATTTTGAGACAGGGTCTCACTATGGGGCACAGGATGGTCTGAAACTCACTAAATAAACTGAGTTGGCCTCAAATCCACAGAGATCTGCTTGCTTCTCCCTCCGGAGCTCCACACCAAAAGTTCTCCTCCTCACTGAGAAATCAAACCCTGGTCTCCTGAGTGACAGTCAGGGACATTCACTTGTAATAAAGAGGAAGTCAGTCTAACACTTCACACCTCGGTTCAGTCCTTCTGCAGTTGAGTCTTTTTTGAGTCAAACCAACACCCACCCTCTCAACAAAATCTAGTGATTCCCAAGACTATTCCGATTGCTCTTTCAGTGACAGCTAACCAAGCAGCCTTCTACTTGGTTTAGAAGGCTGGTTTCAAGTCTGGCTAGCTAGCAAACCCCGAGATACCTTGGGTGTCCACCACCCAAAGCCCTCAAATACATTTGTAGTTGTCACAACTGGGTTTTTCTGGATTGGTCAAGTGCCATAGCCCCGACCCAGTACACCCAAGGATCTACAGCTTCCCTACTGATCCCTGACCCAGTACACCCAAGGATCTACAGCTTCCCTACTGATCCCGCTCTCCAATGGACCAGGGTCACTTGTCTCCCTTCTAGTGAGTTCCACCAGTTATTGCCAACACAGGTAAACTGCAGATGACTCAGGAATGACTCAGGCCTTCTTCAGCTCAACATGCTAAGCCTGTGACATGTCATCTCCCAACATACAACTGGACAAAAGCTTTCCAACCCTTGAGCTGCCTCACCTAAGAGCAAATATCAGAGGCCCACTCATCTCTCAGGCAAGGCTCAGCTTGGGAAGAGTAAAGAATAGACCCTGCCTTCTCCACAACCCCAGAATCAGGACAGAAGTCTCTACCCCCTCTCTGACACCAAGAACCCAGTCTGAATCAGCAAGGAAAAGTCCAGGCATCTTCATCTGTGAAATGGGAGCTAAAGGAACTTGGAAAGGTTTTCTTTCTCCATTACTATGCCAGCAAATAGTATTCCAGACTATTGGAAAACTTCTCAGCAGACTCCTTTGGTCTCTGTACTCCCTAAGGCTGGGATCACCCCTAAGGAAACCCAGTACCATTTGGGCTGTTCAAACACAAGGAAAAAGTCTCATTAATTTCTCCAAAGGTTGCTACCCTTCCTGGGTCTATGTCAGAGAGAGAGAGAGATCAGAAATCGCCATAAAGTTTGCTGGAGAAGGGATCTGGTATTGAAGGCCGTTTCTGCAGGACACCGCCGTCCTGTTCACTAGAGGTATCCAGTACTCAGTGCAGACTCCCTCGGAGCCGAACCCACCCTGTTTCATGAACATGTCCATGGCCCCT